GAGTAATAGTATGACCTAAAAAATTAACTTTAGTGACACCAAAAATACATTTTGAAGGTTTGACATTGACGCCATATTTTTCTAACCTTCTAAATAAAATGTCGAGATGATGTAAGTGATCTTCTTCGTTTTTACTAAAAATTAAAATGTCTAGGTAAATGAATAAGGAATCAAGTCCCCTGGTGACTTCATTAATAAATCTTTGGAATGTATTTCCAGCATTACGTAACCCGAAAGGAGTACGTAGAAATTCGAATGCACCAAATGGAGTAGTAATTGCTGTTTTATAAATGTCTTCCTCAGCTACGGGTATTTGATGATATGCCCTAACTAGGTCAATTTTTGAAAAAATTTTGGATCCATGAATCTTTAAGTTAACGTCTGATAACGTTCCGGTATCGTTTGTTTGTTAAGAAAGCGATAATCTCTACAAGGACGCCAATCTGCACTGTCCTTCTTGGGAACCATGTGCAATGGTGACGTTACGGAAGATGATTGTTAAGTCTTATTGTTTTAGACTTTATTTTAAAACCGGCAACGCCGCACACATATGGCATATTCTTTGTGCATTGTTCTAAAAGGCATAGGGTACTTAAGATTGTATAAAAATTGAAGCGATTGGTGCAACGTTGACCGGCAAAAGGTTCATTGTGTTAAATTTGTATTTTTTCTGTTACATTAAATTCGTATAAAAACCATAAAGCAGTTTTTTTTGGGTTATTAGAAGTGCAATCAAACAATGATGATGGCCTGCATATGCCTAAGTCCACCATGTCTTCAAATTCTTTTTTTGCAATTTTGTACGTAAGAGGATCGAGCCTACGAGGCTTACTAAAAGGTAAATGACCTTCGGTAACTATGTGATGCCGTATATCATGTTTTGCATCAGAAAGAAAATTAGGAGATGAAAAAATGCTAGAATACTTTTTAAAGAAATCTGTATATTGATTTTCAACCGGGAATAATTTTGGATGTTCCTGTTTTACATTTTGTATTCTACCAGTAGAAATAATAAAAGTTTCGTTATCTATTAATTTGCGTGTTTTAAAATCTAATAGCAATCCAAAGTTACATAAGAAATCTGCACCTATTATTGGTTTGGTTATGTCTGCAATTGTAAGAAGAAAAGGAAATTTCCGGCGTAAACCAAGGTTCACGTTCAGGAACTTTTTCCCATAAGTAAAAATAGAGTTACCTGATGCAGAAGCAAGTGATATATTTTCGTCTTTCTTATAATTACTGGGAAGACAGCTAATGTCTGCACCACTGTCAACGAGAAAATTTATTTTATTAATTTTGTCATAAATGAAAAGTCGTTTTGATATAGGAATACTGGTAGTAGAATTACAATTATTTACGGTTGATCTATTTACTTTTTTGAATTTGAATCTTTCTTGTTGAAAATATCTGAAAGAAGACAAGGTGGACCATTACATCTTCTTGCATTGTTACCAAACATGCTATGGAAATAACACAAATTTCTTGATTTGTCGCGACTTCTATTACGATTGTAATGTGAGTGTCCTGTTCTATCGCGGCTATTTGACCTACCTCTGTAATTTTGAGAATTGCATTTATTATTTTGGTAACAGTCTGATAAAAAGTTATTTTGTGAAAAATTACCTTTAAGAGCAGAGATATCTTTTTCAAAATTATTCTTAAGAGAAGAAATCTCTTTTTCAAATTCGGCTTATTTATCTAAAATGTTTTTGAAAATGTTTTGACATTGGTCGATAAAATTAGTTATAGTTTTGTTTAAATTCGCTACTTCACTTGGTTTATAAGAATCTTGAATTTCGAGAACAGAATTTGAATTTTTTTTAAGCGTCTCCCAAATTTTATCCGCGAGTGTTAACAAGTGAGATATATCTTGTTGACTGGACGAGGTTAGAGCGATTTCAATTACGTCCGGTAACCGTCTCCTCCATAACTTAATTAATAATTTTTCATCGATCGTTTTATCGCCGGCGATTTGCATAAGTTCCCTATAAAATGCGGAAGGTTTTTTGTCACCCAACTCTGAGCTTGACAATAATTTATTCAACCGTGCTTCCTCTGATAGTGTTAACCTACTGAGGATGGTATCTTTTAAAAAATCATATAGATTATTTACTAGAAGTTTACTAATTACGTCGTAAACCTCGCTGAAAATATCTGGCGGTAAGTGCGCCACAGTGACATGGTATTTGCTTCTGTCAGCTTTGACGTTATAAATAAAAAATTGGCTTTCAAGCTGTTTAAACCAAAGTTCTGGTTTGAATGACCAGAAAGCTGGAAGATTGATATTTCTTAAATTTTCTATTGAATCGATACCCTCAGCAGTAGAGTTATTTGGTTCGGACATTGTATAAGCAATAATTTAGGCAATAAATAGAAAAAGGAAAAATTATATGCAATGAAATGCGAGGGACAAATCAAATGGCTCACCGATCCGATTCCTTTTAGAAACCTCTACGTGATGATCCGTGAGAATTTCTCTTCCTTTGCTGTTGTTATGCTGTAGTTGTGCTCTATGTCGGTCTTGAAAGTGTTCCGCTTGGGGAAATGTCCTTCGTTCTTCGTCGGGATGTCCTTTGTCCTTCGTCGGGAATATCTTTCGTCGGGATGTCCTTTGTTCTCTACTGGGATGTTGTTTGTCTTCTGCTGGGATGTTCCTTCGTCGGGATGTCCTTTATCCTTCGTCGGGATGCTATCACGTCGGGTCACCAATATTTAGTGGTCCCGTTGGTTGGTCCCACTAAATTTCTTGATTAAAAACAAAAAAAAGTAATTTCTAAAAATTTATTTGATATATATAATAAAAAAAGAATGACATTAGGTATCGAAATATATATAAAAATGAAATTGATTGATGAAGTGTTTTTTAATGATCTGTCTGCAGCATAGCAACGGCGGTCCTTTTATACTGCGTTCAAATGATCCGCCTACGTGTGTCTTCTTTTCATCCAGAAAATCCTGTAAAGGTTAACAAAAGAAAAAACACAGCTTAATTAATAACGGTGACGTTATTGAAAAAGAAGAGACCAGATGGTTGTCACTCCAAAACATTGCATATAAGCAAAAAGTAAAAATAATGACATAAAACGTCAAACATGAAAAAGCAACAAAAAGGCCATAAACAAATCTGTTAGAAGTTCTTTGTGGGCTCGTCAAACAGGACGCGAGCACCACAAAGGTAATTTGTGATTATTATCCAGAGCAATATAAATTCATTTCAATTTCAGTACTTGCAACGCAAATAAATGTTCGTACTTAAATTTTTACTCAAAAGACGTTATTAGTAGTAATCTAACTGGTACTTACAAGCAGGGTTGCCAGGTTTCATGATTTTTCATGAGATCTCATGATTTAAACACATTTTTCATGATTCCATGATTTTCAACAAAAATCTCATGATTTTTGGGCAATACACAATTACTCATTACACTCGTATTTCCGAGTCTGTTGCCATGGCTAATCGCTTGCTAAACTAAATTAACTAAATTGAATTGAATATGTACAGAAATTAATTTTGATTCTCAAGACTGTAAATTTTGGAAAAAAATATAAAAAATTGAATCTCTAGACAAAAAGCTTAAGTTTAAAAAGTTATCTAGCTTTGTGTTTAATATTTTAACCTTACCACATTCAAGCGCGTGCGTAGAAAAAATATTTTCTATAATTATTATAAATAAATCAAAAGCGAGAAACAGGTTAAATACGTCAACTTTAATTGGACTTTTGCATACCAAAAATTTAGTAAGTAAAGATGGTGCAATATGTGCTAATTTTGAAATAAAAAAAGAAATGTTGAGAAAAATTAACCAAAAAATGTATGAGTCCGAATAATATAGTATTAGTAGTTCCCTCAGAAGGTAGTTCCTACCAGAGAACACTGAAAACATTGTTCCTACCTTATCGTTATTAGTTACCTAGGAAGTAGATAACAATTGTTTTATGTTTTGTAGCTTTGTTTATTTTATTCTATTATATTTTATGTTTTGCGTTTTATTTTCAATAGAAAAGTAATTTTTTGTTCAATAAAAATGCATATTATTAACAAAATAGGCACATTTTTTTTTAATCCCCGATAAAATTAGGCCTCTCATAATTTTTACTGAAAATCTCATGATTTTTGTTGCATTTTCTCATGAATAACTTTTTTTCGACCTGGCAACCCTACTTACAAGGTTTATTCGTAGATGGCAACACGATCTCGCGTTTTGCGTGTATAGTAGGTCACGCAGAGAAATTAAAATTCAAAATGGTCTGGATAAAAGATACAAATTATAAATTTTGATCAAAATTTTTAACTTCACGAATATACAGTAATAGTCCAAGAGCCCTCTTCGGCTAGGCGCACATCATTTCATAAAACTCTCAAGTTTATCTGCGCACGTCATCAACACAGGTAAGAACGATGAGCGACTATGTAGTTTAGGTAGTGGTTACTTTGACAGGTAACAGGTAACAAAGGTGTAAAAAAACAGCACCTTAAGTACATTAAGATATAAAGCTCGTTTTTTTTACATTTTCTTCAGAATAATATTTAAAATGACGTCATCCATTGCCGGACACTTAGTATAGTTTCAACCCCCTGCTGGACACACCCAAACTCTGAAAAATTGTGATAACACTTACATTGTAGTATAAAAGCTGAATTTTATATATGTTTCTTGGGGGGCTATGAAAAGAAGTTACCCCAGTAGCCGGACAGTTTTCATGGTTTTTTACATCTTGCCAGTTGGCCTTGAGAGTCGGTGCGAGCGCGAGGAAATATATATTCAGGCGGGTTTGAGTGAGATGGTGAGTTTGCTCTATTGCGTTCTTTTACTGCTTATTTTTTACTTACTCAATATTATATCTTAAACTATTTTTAATACTTAACAAAAAATAAAAATACTAACTTAACAAAATAATTCCATAAAATTATTTATGACTTTTGTTCATATTTTTGAGAAATTCAAGTTTTAACTGTGTGAGGTAATAATATTGTTTATCGTATGAAATCCAATGAACAAATATTTTTATTATATTCATAGCCATAATATAGAAAGTAAAAAATATTCTTATAATTATTACAGAGTTAAAAAAAATATTATTGTATACAAAACATGATTTAGTAATGCTCAGAATTTTCATCTTTGTCGTCAATATTTTCACAATCTTCGTCACTACTACTCCAGTCCTCTTGATTGATGTCAATATCACCTTCTTCGTCAGTTTCTGTAAAAATTTAATCGAGTTAATACAATTATGAATAATAATAAAATCATGTACATAATTTGACATAGTAATTACATACCTGATATAATTTCTAACGAATCACTGACATAATTTGGTAGCTGATCCCCTTTAAAACATTTAAAATGGTATTGGTTATTTTCTTGTACCCAACCATTATTTTCTGGCTTATATATGGTTGGACATTTTAGGTGAGCATTGTTCCAAATACAACATATATAATTTGCTCGTAAAAATTGTTGTAACAGTTCGCTTTTACATGGTGGTAGATTGCTGGCGTCGAAATTCCGAAATTTGTTTCGATCAAAAGCTCCGTTCACATCAGAGACCGTATATGAATCAATGAACATTTGAAGGCGCGCAGCATCAACATCAATTATACTACCGACATTGTATATGTTGCATAAGAATTTCCAGACAATATTAAAAACGTTTCGTTGTTCATCGTTGTCTTAAATTAATTTATTGTTACAAAACTTCATGAAAGCTTTCTAGTACTCCTGATGTTTTTTCAATATTTTGTAAGGTTTTAATTTTCCTTTCCTGAAAAATGCAGGATTGTAATCACATCTTGAGATTGCATGAAACCCAGGTAAGCTTCGACAAATAAAATCTCCCAACTCTGCGTGTATTTTGGTTAGGCTAACATATCTTAAGTTATTTCCAGTACCTGTAAGGATCCACACACATGAATCGTTTTTAAGATGATGCATGTTTCCAAGCATTATAGCAGCAATATCAGTATCAACATTTCTGATTACTATATTTGCTTGATAGTTGATGTTACACGTATGATATACTATCTTAGTATGTGCTTCCTCATGTTCTGGGTATGACAACTCTTCATCTACACTTAAAACAACGTGATTAGAACTATTAACAGTAAATGAATGACATTGTCTGAAATTTACGTTTATAATTTTATTTTGAATAAATGGCACCGCTTCATCAGTAGCCCAATGTGAAATGAAGAAATCAACAAGAGCTTCTTTAAAATTCAAATTTTTCAATTCTTTCGCAAAATCACTTGGTCGAACTTGCTCAGGCCCAGTTATTGTAAACTCTAATTTTGCAGATTCAAATCGTTGTGAATGTTCATAATCGTTGATCAAAGATAACATCAATTCTCGATGCTTGTAATTGAGTGACCATTTGTAACATTTTTTTTGAAATATTTCCAAAGGAACAATTTTCATTGCGTGCAACAAGAAAAAACCATCAATGATTAGAACATCAATATGACCTGGTTGCTCATGTTGGACCTCTTTCTCTAAACTTTTAATCAAAGCAGATTTATCAGTTTTACAAATAGTTCCATCCAAATGGCACATGGACAATGGCACTGAAGTAATTGGGTAAGATAAAATTTTTGAAATATCTACTTTGTAATCCATTGAAATTCCTAGCATACGTCCAAATAAATCTCTTTGAATTTTAATTTCTTGAATTTTACCACCTACTTACATATAAAAAATATATTTGTGATTTTGGGTAGCATCGATTTAAAAAGCTCGAAATTTCCAGTCCGAATGCTTCGTGATAGATTCAGGTAATAGTTTATAAGGTTGATGTAAATTAAGTAAAACTGTGCAGTTTTACCATGTTCGCCATTGAGAGATTGTTGCTTGTAAATTCCGTAACTATTTATTAATTCTTTTAATTCTTCATTTTCTATGTGAAATGACGATATTTCGCTGTTTTGAAGTCTTTTCACTTCTTCTATTACATCATCCGTTAATGTTTTATTATTATTTTGTAAGAACGATTTAAAAAATAGTATTTCCAACCCCAAAGCAACCATTGGGTGTAATCTTTTACAACGGTTAAAGTGTTTTCCATCAAGAAATCCATTTACTGAACCATTTGCCAGTAAATTACTCTCAACCATTACATTTGTTAACCCACCTTACCGATTGCTTTAAAATAAGCCATCATTGTCAATTAGTTTGCAAAACACAAACAGAACAAATTTTATGCTCCTGCTTTGAACCAGTTTTAAGTGTTATTAAATCAGTTAAATTAATTGTGTTTCATATCAAAACGCGCAGGAAAGAAAGGGGTACGTTATAATTAATATTTAAAAAGGATTACCTAAACCAGTGTTAAGAAATTGAACAAATATCTAATTAATGATTGATTAATCTGATAAACAAAAACTTGATTGCTGGAAATAAATAAAAATCCAAAAAGTCTATGATAAGATAAGCCAAGTAATTTTAAGTACCTATTTATTATTAATAGCAGTGGCGTAGCAGGATAATTTATACACGATGCCCAATAAATGTGATACGTGTTCGTCTGCCTTTTCGGATAATGATAAATTGCTAAGTTGTGATAGCTGTCATGGTACAGTTCATGCTATAGAACGGTGTTCTAAATTAACTGCCACAGAATTTCGAGCAGTAGTGCTTCAAAATCGCACTTTATTATATTTCTGTAAAGACTGCCGTACGGCATTCAAAAGTGCTCCTGCTATAATTAAACAGGTGGAAAAATTGAATGAGGTTGTTAACAAGTTGAAGTTAGAAATAGACTCATTAAAACAAGAGGTAAACCAGCTAAAACAAGTAGAGGAAAAGACAACAGATTTCGAATCAATGATCCAGGAATATAATGAAAGGAAGTTAAGGGCAAAAAACGTAATGATGTTTAATATGCCAGAGCCTAACGGGAATAATATCAAAAGCAAAATATCTGAAGATATCGCAAGTGCTAAAAATATACTTGCAAATATCATAGAACCCAATATAATTAAAAAAGTGATAAGGGTTGGAAGGATTGGTGCTAATCCAAGGCCAGTGAAAATTATTTTCGAGTCAAGTGATGATGTTCTGCATATTCTTAAAAATGTAAGGGCAATAGATACTCATGGAATCAAGGTAACATCCGATATCACTCCTCACCAAAAAACCTACTTAGATAATCTACGAAAAGATTTAGAGAGACGTAAGGCGAATGGGGAAAACAAAACAATTAAATATATTCGAGGAACTCTTCAAATTGTTGACCAAAAAAACTAAATAACCCGGGTACCTCATATAATTGTTCAGCAATTGATGTTAAACAATTTCGTGTCTTTTATTACAATGTTGGCGGTATGAGAACAAAGTTAAGAGATCTTCATCAATCAGTCGCCTTATGCAACTACGATGCAATCATCTTGTGTGAAACCTGGTTAAATTCGAACTATAGTGATTCTGAATTGGGTCTTAGTGATTTTAATATTTTTCGTATGGATCGTTGCGATCTATAAGATAATCATTTACAACGTGGCGGTGGTGTACTTATTGCTGTAAGAACATTATATTCAGCCAGTTCAGTTCCAGCCCAAATAAATATGGTAGAACATGTTTTTGTCCAAGTAAAAACAAATGGTAAAAACATCCTTTTGGGATGTTGTTATATTCCTCCTTCCTCTAGTCACGAAGTATATCAAACTTTTTGTGACGGCGTAGTTGATGTTGTACTTGAGAAGCCCGATTGTGATTTGGTGCTATGTGGTGATTTTAACATCCCTGATGTTACTTGGAAGAATGATAACTTAGGCTTAGAGGCTGAATATTCGAATAACTCACCTGCTAAAATTATAGTTAATAATTTAAGTGTTAAATCGTTAAAATTGATGTAATTATGGACTGTATGTTTCACTGATTCTAATCTTTATTTTAATAGAACAATTACAAATAATTAGCAAAATAAACGTAAAAAAAAACAGAGCGTTGCAAAAGTCAAATAGTCAATATCAATCAATATAATCCCGCGTTCTTGTTCGGACGGCACATCCATCGCGCCGCGCAGGGTTCTTGGACCGTCTCTTCTTATTGGCTGGCGCAGTGTCGCGTCACACACTGTTGACACCGTTGCCGAGCATAAGATAGATTTATTGTATGTGTTTATCTGCAATGAATGTCTTAAACATACTCCCGCCTTTGAAGGGATGCCTTCAAAACAGGTAAACAGTTCGGTAAGAATAGCACGTTTTAGTTTACGCACAACATGATAAAAAAAATTGTTTTTTTTTTTTAAGTCTGTTATTGCAATATAACTTCAGTTTGTACCGGAAGGGGACACAACTTTCGTATTGTACGTTTTATAACTCCTTGTGCTGTCTTGATGGTGGCCACCCTGGCGACATTATCTTTTCCTTGGATAACGGTGATCACTCTGCCCATTAACCAGTGATTCGAAGGCGTATTCTCATCGTGAATCAACACCAAGGTGCCTGTGTTGATGGGTGTAGGTGAACCCTTCCATTTGTACGAATGGGAAAGTTGGGTAACATATTCTTTTTGAAATCGAGACCAAAACTGTTGCTTGAATTTTTGGACAGTTTGAACAGAAGACAATCTGTTTTGTGGAGTGTCTAAATAGTTATAATCTGGAAGCATCTTTAGGTTGCGGCCGATTAGGAAATGGGATGGACAGATAGGTTGGAGATCATTAGGGTCTTGAGACATTGCAAACAGTGGCCGAGAATTTAATATACCCTCTACTTCTACTATGAGGGTATTGAACTCCTCATAAGTTAAACTAGTACTGTGCATAATTCTTTTGATATGATTTTTTGAACTTTTTACAGCAGCTTTCCATAACCCACCAAAATTAGGACTATATGGGGGAATAAAATGCCAAGTTATATTATTATTTGCACAGTACTCTAGTACTGAGGTCGAATTTGACTTCAAAAATTCCGCGATTTCGCGTAAATCATTATTTGCTCCGACAAAGGTAGTTCCGTTATCGGAATAAATGTGGGAAGGAATACCTCTGCGTGACACAAATCGTTTCAAACACGCTAAAAAATTGGCTGAGGTCAAATCTGTTACAATCTCGAGATGCACGGCCTTTGTTGAGAAACATACAAAGACGCACATATAGCACTTAATCATTTTCGAATTTCGCAATTTCCTATCTTTTATCAAATAAGGGCCTGCATAATCAATCCCGGTGATTTCAAATGGAAATGACATATTAATTCTTTCTTGGGGCAACTGGCCCATGGGGCTTGTCGCAAATTTAGGTTTAAATTTAAAACATTTTATACACTCATGCACAGTCTTTTTTGCTAAGTTACGTCCTCCAATTACCCATATTGATTGCCGAATATTAGATAATAAAAGTTGCGGACCGGCATGTAACAACTCTAAATGTTTAGCAATGAACAAAATGTTTGTTAATGGATGCTTTGATGATAATAACAAGGGATGCTTAATATTTTGATTAAGCGAAGACAACTCTAATCTTCCTCCAACTCGTAAAAATTGATTATTGTCTAAAAATGGGGCAAGTGATGACAAAGTGTTCTTTTTAGGAAGCGCCTTTTTTGCCTTTAATAAAGTAATAGTTTCTTCGAACGAATCATATTGTGCTAACTTGATTAAAACAAAAAAGGAATTGTTAATCTCATTAGCTTGTAAAGGTCCGTGAATACGATTAGGTAATGATAGTTTACAATTATTTACAAATCTATAGCAATATGCAATTATACGCTTCAACTTATTAATATTTGAAAATAGTTCGAAAATACTATTGTGAGTACGCACAATGTTTACTGTGGTAATCTTTTTAACTTCTAATTCGGTTTCTGGTTCCACAAATGTTTCGGGCCTAACCAAATCATTATGAAGCAAAAAATCAGGACCGTTCCACCATTTATTAGAACCGTGGAGTACTTGAGGGGGTACACCTCTAGAAGCTAGGTCAGCTGGGTTGTCTTTCGTGTTGACATAATGCCAATCCTCTGGATTGGTCAAAGACTGTATTTGTGAAATACGATTGGCAACGAAGACTTGAAATCTATTTGGCTCTGCCTTTATCCAGGCCAATGCCACTTGAGAGTCAGTCCAGTAATAAATTGGAATGGGGGTTTTTAATGATATAACTACTTGTTTACATAGTTGTGCTACTAGAAGAGCAGCACACAACTCAAGTCGTGGTATTGAAACCAATTTAACCGGAGCTACTTTGCTTTTTGCACATAATAGTTGTACAAAGTATTCTCCACTACTACTACTTTTGCTACGGACATATATGCATCCAGCGTATGCAGTTTGTGAAGCATCACAAAAGCAATGTAAATCTGTTGGGACAGCATCTGCTTGCATGATATAACGTGGAATTTCTATCGTATTTATAAGAGACAAGTTTTTTCTAAGTTGGCACCACACATCTACTAACTTGGGCGGAATAGGATCATCCCATGATAATTTTTGTAACCAAAGAGATTGAATAAATATTTTGAATAAAATAATGCAAGGAGTAATTAATCCCATAGGATCATATAGACGAGCTATATCTCCTAAAATGGCTCTTTTAGAGATTATATGTGGAACCTCAAAATTGGCAACATTGTATTTTAATATATCGGTTTTAAAATGCCATTGAATTCCAAGAGTTTTGGAGCTCTCATTTTCTCCCAAAATCAGAATACCATTAGAGACATTGTTTAGTGATAAGTCTTGTAAGACCGAAGGTTCGTTTGTTACCCATTTTCTGAGGATGAAACCGCCTTTTTTAAGAATAAAAAAAATATCTTTACAAGTTTGATTTAACTCGCTGGCATCGTTAGAACCCGTTAACAAATCGTCGACATAGAAATCTGTTAAAATAGTATTTGAAGCAATGGGAAATGAACTTTTATTCTCGTGTGCCAATTCTTGTAAACATTTAATTGCTAGATAGGGAGCGCTACTGGTCCCGTATGTAACCGTATTTAAATCATAAATTGAAAAGTCTTTAGAAGGATCCTCCCGCCAAACAATTCGTTGGAGAGGACGATGTTGTTCATGCATATTTATTTGACGATACATCTTAGATATGTCTGCAGATACAACATATTTATAAAATCTAAATCGTAATAAAATGTCTAATATTTCATTTTGTAACTTG